GGTAACAGATTATTAACCTCTGTTTATTCTGAAGCTGAAAACCAAGAAACAAAGCATTTCAAACCAATATTGTTGAATAATTTGTTTTTTGTTGTGTCGAAGAGTTTTATGAGGTTGCTCTCTGTTTTACAATATTATAATTGTTATGGCTGTACAATCAGTAACAGAAAATTGTCACCATATGTGGCTGCAGCACATTGTTTTATATTTAATAAGTATGCAATGAAAATGGCAAAGCTAAGACTAATGACAAGTGAATGAGAGCTAAGCATTAAATTGATATAATTGATAACCTATGGATAGGGATTACATTGATCAGTATCTCATAAACTAATACAGTAATGTCACAGAAATAATAAAATAATCAAAGTTGGTGTTTCTGATTATTACTGTTTTCACTTATTCTAACAACTGATTAATAAAAATTGCAATTACATTGATTTCCACAAAAATAATCAAGAAATTGAAATTATTTGATTATTACTTTATAAAATTATTCCAACAATTAACTTTTATAAGAAAGATTTAAAAACAAGCAAAGTGTTTACTAATGTTATAATTTCATTTTCTAAATACCATTACAAATAATTATAACTATTTAATTTTAATGAAAAGGCTTGAATTATTTCCTTCTATTTTAATTTTCATATTAATCACATTAATAGAAATAAGGATATAAGCTTTGAAACTGCTGTATTATAACTTGACTGAGCTAATCATTTACAAAACATGTTAACATTATTTTAACTTTATTTGATATATATTTAGGTTATTTTAGGACCATATGTTCTAAATTTCTAAATCTGAAATATTATTGTGGAAGATTTTTCTTTCATATGACAGATATAGAAAGTTTGGTTTATGTTACTCAACTAACTTTTAAAAAGTTAACTGGCACATATCATCATAGTAAAAGTTAAACACTGCCAAATTTAGTTCAGAGGGATAAATAAACAGTTATTTGTTAACACAGTAATACAATATTATCTAAATTGAATTTTGAGTTTTATTCTTATTCATTCCCTAATGATTTTCAAACTTTATAAATTAATGTTGTAACTGTAAAAAGTTTTATTTTTGGAAATAAATATGAGTTATTCTAACTTTTTATGTTGTTTTACTTTAAATTTAGGCTGGTTGAAGAGTATAAAAAATAACTAGGTTTTTGCTTAGACTAAGTACTCATTGGCCTAATAATTAAAAATTTATGATTATCCATTTTCTTTGTTTGGTTAGAAGCATTTGAGTGACTTCATAGTTACAGAAACAACACTTAAAGCCCAATATTGTTATAAATATGTTTATCAATGTAAAACAATACCGAATTGTCTGGAATAATAAGTAAGAGAAAGTGTACTCAGTTTTGTTATAAAGATGACTGATGATAAATAAATAAATCTTTGTATCCAAGCCTATTTGAAGAGCTCTGGATTGAGCAAAATCCATCGGCTGCAATGAATATTACAAATATAGTAGTTCAAATACTGTTCATATACACTCTTCTAATTCTTAAAAATTCTTAAGGTACTAGATTAAAATCTAGTCCTTAAAAAAAATAGGCCTAACGTAATATTTTATGACGAATATAATTGAGTATAATGATACTTCGCCAGCTTTTAAAGGCCATTCACACCATTACAATTGTTACTCTAACAAATGGCCAAAATAAAGAGTGTTACTATATTCATTCATTACATCTCAGTTTGAAACCCTAGCTACCACACCAACAACCTGGCATCAGTATGTATCCCCATTCAACCAAATATCTAGTAACTTAGTCTAAAATTAATTCGAGACTGATTCTAACATGTTATTTTGTCTACCACAGGGAACTGGAGCACTGGTAAATAAAATATTTGGCACCTGAGTAGTGAAATTGGCTTTTCTCGGTGGTACTCCCATTTCCCTTACAACTAAATCTATGGCATTGGATTTATTGATCCCAGCCACATTTAAGTACTCTGTCCAATAAGAGACATTTTGGTTGATACAGAAGTAAAAACATTCTAACGAAGGCTACTCGCCTCCTTTTCTTCTGTTCGTAATTATTTGATTTTTTTTTCTAAAACATAAACCTTCATTCATAACCATGGATAGGGTGAAGGAAAATATTTATTTCTGAACATCACCTGTTGTTTTCCTCAATTTTATTTTTCCAAATCTTTTTTTTTTCCCCCAGTTTTAAAATTTTGGGAAAACTCTAAACCGAAATGTTATTGTTAGTATTTTGTTATTGTTTATTATTAAGCACAAAGCTAGACAAAGGGCTATTTAGTAGTATAATACATACCACTGTGGGGCAAGCTGAAATAACCACCATGTTTGATCTGTCTCGATCTAGTATGTTCGTTGTTTTCCATTAGGTCTGAAAAGTCTGGTTTGAGCGAAACATGTTGGTGTCAAAGGTAATGACAAATATGGTGTGGGGGTAAATATCATCAAGCCTAATGACAAAAATAATAAATAAATCAGAATAGTTGTAATACAAATATACTCCTTATCTCAGTCTAGTATCATATATGTATTTGAAAAAAATGGTCATTTGCTAAGCATTATTCTCTACCTGAAAATGAACTCTTAAAAGAACTCGAAAGTTTGTAAATTCGAGTTGAGAAACTCATTATATTTGTATTTTCCGACAGCACATACAAAACACTAGTTGTCACTATTGGTTTGATATGGCATGTCAATGGGTGCATAAACATCTCAGTCTGCTATCAAAAAATACTTTCCATACATTGAGGATAGAGGAGCTTCATTCATATCCAAAAATGTGTTGGTACACATGAAGTTTTCACCATGCAAAGAGTTTGTAATATTCAACTGACGGAACTTTTGAACCTAAACACAGTGGCGTACCTAAGTTATGGCACGTACCCTGGGTGCCACTTGAAGGGGGCGCCACTGAACAGCTTCTATTAAAGTCAGACAAGCCATCCTTCAATAGTGAAAAAAGAATTTTTTTCAGATGTATGATCTGTCTTTGATTATCATGGGTGAGAAGTACTAAGATGGCCGGATTGTTAAACCACTTATATAAATTATTAGGTAAAAATACAGTGCTGGGAGCAACATGACCACATACCTCATAATTTCATTGCTCAGTGACAACTGGCAGTAAGACCATTCTCCTGCTCAAGTTAGGGAGGTAGTTCAGAATTTTGTGCAAAATCTATGAAATTTAATGTTCTTATTAAAAGTGCCATTTCCTTATTTCAGAGCATTGTGTAAGAAGACCATGAAACGTTTCTTCACAAAGAAGAAGGAAAGTGGTGCTGAAGGACGGAAGAGACGAAAGTTGGAGGCAGAGAAAGCCAAAAAGTCGAGCAAGTTGTTCATGCCCTTCTTTGAAAAGCCCGGTACAAGTAGTTCTACACGTTCCATGGAGTCGCCTGCACCAGCTACAAGTTCGTTAGAATCCGAAGGTGGATCAAGTACAAATGCGTCACAAGCGAGGAGAAAGTCAAGTCATATAAATCCGAATATAACGAGATTAAGAATGAGGCTGCCAGAGAGAACATGGACATGACAGGAGGGGAAGAAAATGGTGGTGGTGATGTTGAATTTATTGACGAAATTGAACCTGACAACACTGAACCTAGTGTAACAGGTTAGCGCTCAGGTGAGCTTAATTGTTGGAGTTTCAATTAAAACCAACCTGTACACCAAATTTATTTGTTGGAGGATTTGTCGTGACGAGTGGAGCCACAAGCCGCTAACTCCAGGAGTTCACAGTTAGAGAAAAGAATATGAGTCTCAGACCAGCAATACTATTCACAAATAACTTTTATTAATCTTTAATACACCTTGCATAATAGTTACTATTTAACTCTTTAATCATTGAACATTAATAACACTTTTCTTATAATATCATATACTATACAAAAGCTGATCTAGAAAGAGAGAGAGATACTTACTGCAGAGTTGGAACCTTCTTAGCAGAGTCCAGATTATTGAGCTGCATAGTTACTGCTTGTAGAACTGGCTGGAGAGCTGGGTATCTTCAGAACTCGCCGGAGATCTGATTTTTCAGCTCCAGACATGGGTTTATATAGCAGAAATTCTCTGTATCCTGGCGAGCATCCAAATAGGACACAGCATCACCCACAAGTAGTGCGGTGCCCCTATTGGATGCTTGGAGGCAAGTTTTGGACTGGTCCAGTACCACACCAAAAACCCTCAAGCTATTGGTCATGGTCAACTGCTGTTAGCCGGCTGCCTACTTGCTTGTACTGCTACACCCATGTACTGTAACTGATACTGCATCAAAGCACTGTGATGATTCATAAAATATAAACTTTTCTATAGCGTCTACAGTGCTAAAGAATCGAGGCCAACATCCTCCATCTTGGCCTTGTACATTGGCGTTTCGTGTGCAAAACCTGTTTAGAACTAAAGAGGTTGTTAACTG